GTTCCACTTTGATTAACGCTTACTTCATGCTGGCAATGATTAAAATTAAACTTTATAAGTTTTTTGTCAGACACGAAAAGTATGGACCCTTCTTCATGCTTCAAATGGCAAGAGGGTATGGGACGAACGAAGACTTGCAAAAGGTTAGTGAATTATGGTTATATAAAACAAGTCAAAGAAAAAAGATCTTGGAATGCATACTTCTAATAAATATTACTGTATAATTCCTTCATTCATTTCTTTTTTTGGAAATATTTAAATGCTATAATTATGATCATCAAAATATTTCAAATTTTCGTAGCATCATTCTTGATGGCATTTTCATATTTATCATCAACTTAATGATATATCACAATTAAAGACAAATAATGCATAAAATATATCAATTGTAGGTTAAATTTCGCTAAAATAAGTTTAAAAACTTGTTATTCCCCCAATTCAACACTACAAATTAGCGGAAAAAAACTTCATTTTTTAGCTCGATATGTTCGAGAAAAAATATGCATCATTAATGAAAAAATTAAAGCCCGTCATTTCTCATATTCGAGCAGATATCAACAGGCGAATGATTTGGAATGCAAAATACGCTGATAAAATTATCGAATTTATGTCGAAATATTTACAGCCCTGAGAAATTTCTATGTACAATTAAAATTTTTTTTTCTATTTATTGACAGATTTCAACACCCTTACTAAAGAAACAAAATTAGATGATAATTAATTCTACGTTAGTATTAAGACTTATGAACAATGTGTATTGTGACATAAATCAAGACATAAAGGGCTGATATTTCTTATCATCTTAATTAGTCAACTGGATTGAATGCTTAAATTCATATCAATGTGATTTGTTAATCGGGGTTAGGAAAACAACAACCTCAAATATTATTTAGTCCTCAACAAAAGAATGAATTGAATTCTCGAAGCACTGTTCCGGATATTCAAAAATTACATATTAATTAAATGATTCGTAGGAAATAGAATTAAAATCTAACATATCTAAAAGTACTGACAGTGGTCATTTCACTATTTCATCCACTTCAATCAAATTTTGTTACAAATTAATGCAATTTTTATGTGGAAGACAAAATTTTGATGTAGTGATATTAATAAATGATAAGTTGTAGGAGAATGATATGTCGCAATCTTCTAAAATTGCAGTAATATTTATTTCTGCTTATTGGCAACTAAAAATTTCCCCTTTTATCCTTCTTTTGCATTCTTCAATTATTATTTCCTAATAATAAATTGTTAGTTGTTTATGTTTTATTTGTCAACTGTCCTACAGTTTTATTCCAGTCATTGTTTACGTTTATAAGGCGTTAGTAAAATTTTTTTCGGTATGTTTATTATAAAACTTGAGCATATTTAGTTTAATGACATGTGAATGTTTTCTGATCTGTCATTGACCAACTATTTTTCATCCTTAATCTTAAATTTTTATCATTTATTGTTTACGTACAAAATATTTTGGATTTAAAGTTTAAATTTGAAGTTTAAAGGTAGCAATTCAAAGTTAGCAATCCTAAAATAAACTGGCTAAGAGTGAAGAAAACGAGGCAAACATTTAGCATCATTATTTATCATCAACAGTTGCGATTTGACAAAATTGAAATCCTTTCACATTCTTATCACTTGAAATTTTAACATTTTTTGAGAGCATTTCTAAATAAAACAAATTGAAAGTTAAATTTTTGCTGTTTAAAAGATAAGAAACGTTATCTTTTTTTGTTGTATAATTGTGATACTTTTATTATAACTGTGCATGTTTTTTACAAACATATGCATATTGTAATTGTAAATGTGTTTGTAAACATCATTTATTTGGTACACCAGCATTTTGTGATATTTTAATTATAAATAATTCAGTTTTTCAGTGAATTTTAACATTCTTTGAGAGCATTTCTAAATAAAACAAATTGAAAGTTAAATTTTTGCTATTTAAAAGATAAGTAATTTGAGAGGTCGAATTTCGGTTCATATGTTATACTGAAATTTTAATAATAATGGTTAAAACTAATAACACAAAATTGAAAGCTATATGAATCAATGAAAAAAGATAGAAGTGTTCAGCAGCTTGAACGTATTTTTAAATCTCAGCAATTGATGTCGAATTGGCGAATTTTTTGTGATGTTCCTCAATTCTTGTGCATTAAAAAATTCCGAAATGATTCGTATTTCAAATTTTGAGAGATAACAAACCTAACATAGTTTTTATTGTGAGGTTTTTGAAACTAAAAATTTTTATCGCATATTTCCTGACAGGAAATTTGCTAATCTCAAATAATCTAACTGCAGATGTTTTGATTTCATTCAAATTTCTGAAATTGCAGCTATTATCATTATTCGTTTTAGAACGAATTTTAACTGAATATTCCTAATTAATACATGGCAGTATTGCTAGCCTGCCTAATGTGTTTGTCTTTTTTTCAGATCCGTTTTGATTTTACTGTTTAGATATGAAATGGAAGTTTTGCATACCTTTTTTTTCTAAAATAAACCATAAAACAAAAATTGCAAAAGTAATCATCCATAAAAATCCGCTCTATTCTTGTTAACTTCTATTTCTAGTAAGAAAATAAGAAAACAGAAATTTATGGTTGGTTGTTATGACAACAAGTTGAAAATGATCCATTCTTACTTTCACAGTAGCAGTTAAAATTGCAGTGTTTATTAATATAAGATAATGATTGAGTCGATTTGACAAATAAAAGTCATATAGAATTTCAATTTTGAGTTGAATTTCTAGCTGAACTTGCTTTTCAATTACTGTTTCTAAAGATGCAACATAGAGGAATATTTCGCTGTTGACCACTTTCCCGTCCACTTTATGATCATAATGCACTGCAGGAATTTCTACCAAAAAGTTTTTAACATTTTATTTTTTAATGTTTCATATATTCCGTTTTGTTGATTTCCTTATCAAGTAGTCACTGGAAGTTTTCCAGACAGTGCAAAATAATAGTAGCCGAGTTAATGAATGTGTTAAATAACATTAATCGTCTGTCTGCATATGAAAGTTTCAAACATAACTTCATTGTCGAACTTTGTATAAACCTGAAGCTGAAGTTTGAGTACTTTGCTTATTTGAAGCCTTGTACAAATAATCAAAAATATTAGATTCAAATTTGAAAATAAAAATCCGAAACTGAAAGTGGATTTATTGCAACCGTTTTCAAGGAAATGAAATGTATTTCGGCTGATATCATTTGCAAAAACTTGACAGACTTTATATTTTCCCATTATTTTTCATTTCTGATAAGTTCTGTGTTATATGTCTTTAATGAGATTGTCTTGTCGAATATCTGAGAAGCTTCCGGGTATTCCTGAATTTCCCAGACCATTTCCGAGTTTTTTACTACTTCAATTACTAGAATAATTGAATGATAAATCAAAACATACTCAATCTATGAAACACAAAATTGTAAAAAGTGCCTTTTCTAAGGCATTATGATAATATTTGATGCCTGCTTAAGTTATTTTTTTGATATTTTGTTGTAATCTCAACACTCACCTTTTTCTTTTCGTTTTATTTTTTATTTATAACGAATTTTGTACAAAATTTTTTGCCACAGAGCAATTTCCGGTGAACAGTGCGGAATTATTCGGAATTAGGACAGAAATACTTCCTATTTGTTATTCATAATGTACGTTGAATCTGAATGAAATATTTCTAGTAAAATTGGAAAAAAAAGAGCATTTGATTATGGATAAATATCAAAAATCGGACAAAACTGGCAAGGGTTCATGCGGCATCGTATAGAAGTGTCACAATAAGAAAACAGAACAGGTAGACTTTATATTTTTCGATTGCGTAAAACATTTGTTGAATCAAATTATATGATATATTGACCTGAGAAGTATTTCAGTAATTGATTCGATTAGTGTTTACATGACGAGCTGAAAAGCATTCCACTAACTGACCTGATTGTTTGTGTAATGAGCTGATAATTGTTTCAAAGTAAAGATTCCTAACTTGAGCTTGTTCGAACATCTAACATTCAATTTCTTACATGTATCTGATTTATCCTTGGATGTTCTAGGGGAACAGTCGTTTAAAAACTTAAGATCTTTTTAAATGGCGAATTTTTGAACGCCACAAACATTTGAGCCTACATAAGCAAGTTTTGAATTTTATGCATCCATTTTAAGCATATTATCCGTTTAGAATTATAATCCATCTTTCAATTTCTTATTCAATCTCTTACTTTTATTAATTAAAATTAAAATTTGACGTGTGGAACTGTCCCAGTACTATGAACTTTTTCAGTAAAAGTTATTTCCTACCGATAAACTTGCGGCACTTTTTTTTTATCGTTGCACTTAAGAAGTTCATTGAATCAGAGGATGATCTAGCAAAGAGGAGAATTGCATTGTGTGAAATCCGAATATTAAAGATCAACGTGAATTGCTGATTATACAAAAATGTTTATGGTACCAATAAAAGCAATGATCATTGAGGGAAAGTTTATTCCAGTATCATTTAATACTCTTCAAATATTAGCAGCACTTGAAATATTCAAATTTCATAACTCTGCTTGATGTTTTCGAAAAGGATCGAATGTTGCATTTGATTTCTGAATATTGCGAAAAGACCAAAGAACCATTATAAACGAAGGTTTGTTCTCTTTGCCATATGCGTATTTTTGTGGAAACGAAAATAGCACGATATGTTTCCTACTAAATTACTTAAATCTAAGGTAATTATTAAAAGATGGCGGAAAAAAAAACCCCTAGCCTGGTCGATCCGATATTGAATAACTGTATCTGATTAAGAAAACAATGAGTACATTTTGTTATCGAAGAATAACAGAAATAATAATAAACTGAACTATAAACTGTTACCATTATTCCGGCAATATAATATGGATAGAACCGATTTGATAATAATGCAATCTTTTGCGATCCGGATTTCGGAGTAAATGGTTTCAATGATAGAGTATTACTTAAATGGTTCTGATTTTTGAAGTATAAACGATATCAACATATCGTTCAAAACAAAAGATACATTATCATCTGTATAGCTGAAAAATCAAAATTTCGACGTGTTAAATTAAGATTATCGAATTCATTTTTGATTGCAGGAAAGTTTTTGCCAAGATAAAAAATATTTTATCGAGCGTATTTGTTGTTTCACAATGTTTCGATTCCGAAGCCGGATATGTGTGAAACTTTGTCTAGAAGACTAAAGACCTCTTCGATAATCACTGATTTTTTTATACTTAAGTCTAATCAACAATTATTTTGAGCATTTGAAAAAAGTTTGAAAATGCGAATTCTACATAACTTCACCTACTAACCGAAAAAGGGTAATAAATGGTTAAAGGTAATTGAGAGTTACTACGGTCTGATGAAATCATTGACCCGTAAAAAAATAGCGGAATACTTTGATATCCGCAATATCACTGGTCATTTTTCACAGATAACTTAAATTATCTCCCAATCAAACGTCAAATATCAAGTGGCAATATCCAAAATTTAGAAATGTTTGGATATAAATGCGGGAAAGCGTTGGACTTGTAACGAATTACTCCATCATGACTGTTTTAAAGGTTATTCATTTCATCATCCTATCAATCAAATCAACTATTAAAAGAGTATGTTACATATTGTCAACATTCTTCATGTATTTATCTCTGTCATGAAATAGTAAAGACTGCCAGATAATTTGTCGAGCTCACTGGTTGAGTAATCAAACTCCAATCAAA